GGACGTGGGTGAGGATGGAGGAGGGTCCTGGGTCAGTGAGGACGTGGGTGAGGATGGAGGAGGGTCCTGGGTCAGTGAGGATGTGGGTGAGGTCAGGAGGGTCCTGGGGTCAGTGAGGATGCAGGTGAGGTCAGGAGGGTCCTGGGTCAGCGGGGACGTGGGTGAGGCCGGAGGACTAAATCGGGCTTTGAACTTGGAGCCCAGGTCCACTGCAGGGCCTGGAAAATTCCACTCCCTGCGGCTCAGGGCCTCCTCCCCAGCCCCTGCTCCTGGCTGCACTCGTGGTTTCCATGGCAACAGCCTGAGCTCCAGGACCATTCCCTGAAGAAGGTGGGAGCCCGCGGGAGGAACATGGCACAAGACGTCAAAAGTCGCTGCGCCGGCGCCCGCGTGCGTACTCTGCACACGTCAAAATGCGTGGGCACCAGCAGTGTCTCTGCAGAAGGTGAAGGCTGGACGTGACCAAAATCCCAATTGCCTTCGGAGCACAGTGTCACCCCCCACTCAGTCGGAAATACTGACTGAGCCCCTCGGGGCTCCAGACGCTGCCCAGACATGGAGGGTAAACTGTCACACATGGAGCCAGCACTGCCCTCCTGAGCCAAGGGACAGGGGAGAGCTTTGGATGCCCCCGATGTCTGCCACCCCTTGGGGCCTTGCTGCACTGGGCCAGGGTCCTGGAGGCAGCAGGAGCCAGCAGGCACAGGCCTCCACCCTGAGCATCATGTGGAGGATGTAAAGCAGAACTTCCGGTGGCACAAGGCCTCTTGGAGAGGGTGACAGCTGAACAGGGTGACACTGGGATCTGGATAGGGAGGAACTGGATCCAGGGACATAGGGGAGAACGGCCCAGACAGAGGAAAGTCAACCTAGAAAACCTGTACTGCTGGTGGCCACCCTGCCCAGGCCCAGCAAGGAGCCCAGTGTGGCTGGAGTGGGGGAGTAAGGGAGAAAGTGGGTGAGACCATGTCAGGGCATCAGGGACCCCATCCTTCAGGCCAGGAGGGGAGAATCTGGTGCAGGAGTTGCAACTGGCCCACCCTGGTTTTATAAAGCACAGTTTATGGGAACACAGACATACCCATCATTTCCGTTTTGTCTGTGACCACTTTTGTGCTACAATAGCAGAGTTGAGTTCTCGTAACCCACACCATATGGTCCACAAAGCTGAAAACATTATCTAGACCACTACAGGAAAGGTTTGCTGACTTGCAGGTAGTGCATAAAAATTGATGCATAATTAATGCACCCATGTTTTCTTAAGGAAATATTTCCTTTCTTTGTTGGATGGATGAATAGTGGGGAGATGGGTGAATGGATGGATGAATGATGGATGGGTGGATGGACGGATGATGGATGAATCGGTGGATGGATAAGTGGATAGATGGATGGATGATGCATGGATGAATGCATAGTTGGTTGGATGGATGGGTAGATGGATGATGTGTGGATAGATGGAATGATGGATGAATGGATGGATGGATGGATGGATGGATGATGGGTGGATGAATGCACAGATGGTTGGATGGATGGGTAGATAGGTGATGGGTGGGTGGGTGGATGGATATATGAGTGGATGAATGGATGACATGTGAATGAATGGATAGATGGATGGATGATGGGTGGATGAATGCATAGAAGGTTGGATGGATGGGTAGATGGATGATGTGTAGATAGATGGATTGATGGATGATTGGATGGATGGAAGGATGGATGGATGACGGGTGGATGGATGGTGAAGGTTGGACGTGACCAAAATCCCAAGTGCCTTCTGAGCACAGTGTCACCCCCACTCAGTCGGAAATACTGAGCCCCTCGGTGCTCCAGACGTGGCCCAGACATGGAAAGTAAACTGTCACACATGGGGCCAGCACTGCCCTCCTGAGCCAAGGGACAGGGGAGAGCTTTGGATGCCCCCGATGTCTGCCACCCCCCGGGACCTTGCTGCACTGATGGGTAGATGGATGGATGGGTAGATGGGTGGATGGATGGATGGGTAGATGGATGGATGGATGGATGGGTGGGTAGATGATGGATGGGTAGAAGGATGGATGAGTAGATGGATGGATGGATGGGTAGATGGATGGATGCATGGATGGATGGATGATGGGTGGATGGATGGGTGATGGGTGGATGGATGGATGGGAGGATGGGTGGATGGATGGATGAGTAGATGGATGGATGGGTAGATGGATGGATGGATGGATGACGGGTGGATGGATGGATGGGTAGATGGATGGATGGGTAGATGAGTGGATGGATGGATGGGTAGATGGATGGATGGATGGATGGGTGGATGGATGGATGGGTAGATGGATGGATGGGTAGATGGATGGATGGGTGGATGGATGGATGGATGGATGGATGGATGGATGGATGGATGGGTGGGTA